GGTGATGAAAAAACATTAAGAGAGGTTGGTGGAGCATTGATGTTATCAGCATATATCTAGCATTTATGATATTTCTTCACATATTTAAAACATTCATTTTCCATTTCCTCACAAATATGATTAACGGGACAATCAAAATTATTTGATGCAACACTAGCACTGTCACTTTCAAGCACATTTTTCCGCATTCTTTAGAGTTAGGAAAAGGTTGGTAAAGAGATTAAGGAGAAAGGAAGTGGCAAGAGATGAAGGAAGAATGAATGCATTTTATTTAATATTTAAAAGGAAATACATGAGCCCTTATTCAAATAAATAAATCTTAAAGCCTTGGGCAGAGCAATAAGACTGACATTACAAGAAAATTACTTCAAATTTGAAAAAAACCATAAACAACTCGAAAATCTCCCAATTATTAAGCTTCACGTTCGGTGGACAAGCGTGAACCTGACTAACATGTTCATTCTCGCAAGAGTCTTGCTCAACAACAGCTATTGAGTTTGGAAACTCAAACCCATCACACCAAAAGCTTTCTCACAGATCACTGAGAGGGACCCCATCTACTTTCCACAACAGAATTAACTGTCGACCCTCCATGACCTAGTAGAGGGTTGTTCCCAATGTTAGGATTATCCTCTTTAAAGTTTAACCACCCAGCCTTAGTCAAACTTTGTACCTTGATTTTTAGTGCTCTGCAATTTTCAAGGGAGTGACCAATAGCTCCCGCATGATAATCACATTTGGCATTAACGTCGTATCCCCTAGGATATGGTGGTTCTATGGGCTTCATCGGGCAAGGTACTACTAGTGAATTTTGTAGTAGGAGAGGGAACAACTCAGTATAGGACATATGGATAGGGTCAAACTCAATTGGTTTCCGATCTTGGGTATTTTGTGACCTCACATGGTTAGAATTTTGGTTCCATGGCTGGGTAGATTGAGGTGGTCGTGCGGTAGGTATTGTGGGTGAAGCTTGCAGAGCTTGATGGATAGGTTGTTGAGGATGTG